CCCCCGTAGCCGCGCAGCCGCCCGCAGCCGCCGTGCCCGGGCCCTCGGTGCCGCAGCCGACCCCAGGGCAGCCCTCGCCCATCCTTCAGCTGCAGCAGAAGCAGAGCCGGATCAGCCCCATCCAGAAACCGCAAGGCCTGGACCCCGTGGAGATCCTGCAGGAGCGGGAATACAGGTAATGCACCTGCCAGCTGGGGCCAGGCTGCTGTGTGCCAGCAAGTGCCACCAAGCCTGGGGTGAGGGTCTCCTAGGGTTGTGGTCATCGCATTATGGGCCAAGAGAAATTGCGGAGGCAGAAACCCATGCTTAGGAGAATGATCTCAGAACCAAATGGCAGAGAAGAGTTTGTATAACACTGGGGGTCCCTGTGATGGCTCTGGGTTGGTGAACTGATTTTCACTCATTCAGTCAGAAAATTTTTATCCACCCCGTGACATGCCAGGTGCTGTGAAGGCACTGGGCTTCCAAAATCAAAAGCCAGCCTGGATTTCCTGTGGATCCAAGAAAAGGGTCATCTCTCGCTGGGATTATGCCATACGTTCTTGTTTGTGTTTGGTCCTTGAATAATGGCTGAGATGGTTGCTGTTGAATGTGTTTTGCTGGCCTGACCTTCGGGTAACTGGTGCATCTGTGATCCTAAAGTATACTTGGGTAGCTTGGCATAATATGTTCTTTTTTTAATTCATGCATGTTTTGGTCTATAGTTCAGTCCAGCTTTATGGGTAAACCATTTGTAAGTGCTTCTGTGGAGTCATTATTTAAACGTCCACTCCAGAAACTTAATTTCCACCTGATTTGACACATTTATCTAAACCAGGGGTTGGCAAACCTGTCCTATAAGGGGCCAGATAGTAACTATTTCATGCTTTGTGGGGCCATGTCGTCTCTCACCACTACTCCACTCTGCCCTTGTAATGTCAAAATAGCTATAGACAATAATTGGCTGGCTGTGTTCCAATAAAACTTTTTACAAAAACAGGCTGTGGGCAGGATTTGGCCTGCAGGCTGTAGCAGCCGACCCCTGATGTAAATAGTTAATGTCAACCAAAAAGGGAGTCCAGTAAGTACTGAGTCAAGATAAAACAAAAGATTGTGGATCCTGGAGTCAGCCAGAAAGCATGATCTGTCATGACTAGCTAGGTTACCTTGGTCAGGTGAAATTTCTTTACTGTGCCTTGTTTTTCTCATATGTTGAAGGAGAATATAGAACCTCTCATAGAGTTGGGAAGATGAAGTGATACAGAAGCATTCAATAAATATTAGTTGTTATTATTTCCCAAATACTACTTAATTTAAAAGAAAATTAGAGTTTAAAAATTATCGAGAATGTTAGTAACCAATGTTTGGGCTCCCTTTTAAAACATTTACCTTAATCTTTACTGAAAAGCATATCACTTTATTTGTCGTTAGTCTAAAATGCTAAGTTATCTTATCTAAAATGCTTTGAGAGTAACTCTGAAAGAAATCAGAGTAACTTGCCATTAGATGTGTATAGCTTTTTGGATAAAGAGTACCTTTACTGTCATTACTGTTACCAATCATCCATTAAGAGATTTTATGTTGCTGTTTCCAGCATTTCGTGTATGCCTTGAGAGCTAAACACTCATCATCAATTGATATTTCAGTGCTGATTCTGTTGCGTGAATAATTGCTGTGTGTTATAATGTCAAATACTAGCATATCCAGAGCAGAAAAACCACACTTATATTGCAGTACTTTATGTAGCTATTGAATTTAAAAAAACCCAAAAGTAGTAAAAAAAAGTTAGTAGTGGGATAGAGAGGTATCATGCAGTTACTCTAAAGTTCTGATTTCCTGAAAGCTAATATTGTTTTCCCTATCCTGATGGTACAAAGCTACCAGCAACTTTGTTAAACGATGTGAACTACCCTCATGCATACCTGGAAATTTTATATAATAAGAGGGTACTTCAAAAAGTTTGTGAAAAATAGAATTAAAAGAGTATAACACTTTCCATGAACTTTTTGAAGTACCCTCTTATTTCTTTTCCTTATTCAGCCTGTTAGTTTATGTGTGTGTGTATTTTAACTACATATTTATTTTGCTGACTCCTAAATTTTCTTTATCATATTTGCCAGAATTTTAATTGCAGGACTTTCTTGTAATGAGCTCACTTTAGCACCCTTCTTGATAGCATGGTATCCCAAAGTGTACAGTATTATGTAGTACTATTTAGCCTCTTCCAATGCATAAAATGCTTTTGTCTTCCACTCCTGTATCAATAAAAAAAAAAATTCTGTCAGTACCTTTAAAATTATATGCACTGCGGAATGTGGTGAAATGATTATTTTTCACATTGTTATTACTTGATAAATGTCTTCTCTTTCGTAAAGCCCTGGGGATCCTTTGATCTGGTCAACTCTGGGTACAAAAAGCTCGTGGGTCCTTTGGCCTGAATTTTCCCGTGGCCATCTCGAGAAGAAGTATAGATTTGTACTGGCAGCAGCATTGCAGAGGCATATTTTATCTTCTTTAGTCATAGAACAATAGCTGGCTTATGCCTATGTGAAGGTAAATGGTTCAACTGCAGAGATTAGTTAAATTTATCCCTTAAAAGGGTTAGATTAAGTCCTTCACATACTTGTAAAAGGTGGCGAAGAAACGCCTTTCTTTTGCCCCTCTAATAGAATGGCTCACTAGCCAGAGTATCTTCATCATCTGATGGAAGATTTCAACAAGGCATAAAAATACCTCTTTTACAATTTGATAAACTTAGTTTGAGCAAAAATCATCTGTCAGAAATTCCTTAACAGATGTTAATTTATTTGGCCATCGTAATATCACTTACCTTGTCTATGAAAATCGAAAGGAAATTGTCAGAATCTTACATTTTTCAACTTTTAAGTCAGTTGGCTATTTTTCCTGTTCATCATCAAATCAGAATTTTGACAAATTGACCTTTATTCAGTCGTAGCATAAATAAGTTTCTGCAGATGAACGCTTTGGCTCAGATCTGTATAAGCTCTCTAGTTAAAACATTTTTTCCCCCATTTAAATTGGATCCTTTCTATTTGACCATCTTTCTCTTATAACAGAACTTTATTGCTTCTTTGTAGTAAGTGTTAGAGAGATATTTCCATTGTTTCTTTTTCTTTTTTTTTCTTTTTAGCACAACTCTCTTTGCCCTCTCAGTATGCATAACTTCAGTTTCTTCCATTGTAAAGTTAGATGTTTTATCAAAAGTGACACAGGAATTGCCATGTTGGCATATTATAAACTAATTCCACAAATGTTTGCATGGAAAATGTATTTCACACTCAAAGGGGTTAATTTGGGAAAGGCATCTTTGAATTATAGGTGCCCACTTTGGAATCAAGTCAGACTTGAGTGTGACAATAGTGTACTTCCTCCTTGTTTGGGAAGCAAGCATCGGTTGCTTACCTGTGGGTTTTCTTTTTCTTTGGTTTGTCCTGCCCTTGTCACCATTATATTCCTGAAAATTCCTTCTCAAAAATTACCGATAACCGCTTTACCAGCAGAGTTATGAAATGTCACACCCTCTCCCTCTTTTTTTAAAGTGTCACTCAGCTCCTTGAAGGAACAAAATGTACCGGTGTCATTTTCTGTTCAAGTAACTCTCCTACAGGAATCATAAACTTCTCCTCTGGACCTGAACAAATATCCCTTGCCTTTAATGGAACTCTTTTTCTTGCCAGAACAGTAACCCTCTTGATTTACTGTTCAATCTATATGAAAAACCTGAATGACCTAATTCTGCTTCAATTTTCTGTGCTCGTGAGGACACTAAATGAGTCTCCTGCAGTTATGCAGTATTACGTCTTGTGCCTTTAATGGAACTCTTTTTCTTGCCAGAACAGTAACCCTCTTGATTTACTGTTCAATCTGTATGAAAAACCTGAATGACCTAATTCTGCTTCAATTTTCTGTGCTCGTGAGGACACTAAATGAGTCTCCTGCAGTTATGCAGTATTACGTCTTGTTGTTGTTTCGGGAAGTTTAGAGTCCTGAATCTCTTTATCGGACTACCTGCTGAATCCCATTGATGGGAAGATGAAATTGTCTGGAGAGGAGCATTATTTAACGTGAAGATTTCTATTAACAACAACAACAAAAATACAATTTTCTACATTTAAAGAAGCCCCTTCTGTACTTTTGCTACCCACCCCCCATGTGCTGAATCAAATGCATATAATTTTACTATGGAATCTCTTTTTCCTCTTCTCCTAGAGCTTGCACTTTGTATTTCTTGCCTCTCTTTCATAAAAGAGATTCTTCTGTGCAGGGGAATCTGCAATTCACTGACAAATTACTTGGTTCTTTGGAGAAGCAGTCATTTCAGTGAGACATGGCAACCCCCTGGTTACAAACCCCGTCTGCATCAAGTCCCTACTCCCCACTTCCTCATTTCCTTCTCTGCTCCCCAACTTCCCATCCTTCCAGTTCAGTGTGATTTAAACTCTGTCAGCCCACTTGTCCTATGATTAATTATTTAGTTCTAGTTCCATAGCCCTTTGGAAGATTAAGGAAAAAACAGCTATTCCTCTAATTCTCCATCTGACCCACTTTGTCGAGGAGAGTAAACCAGAATACCAAGGGATAGTTGGAGTCCTAGGATATTCAAATAAGAAAGGTCTGCAATGAATCTAGAACCAAAGAAGTAGAATAACCAAATCTTTGGCCATCATCTCACCTCACTGTAATATTTCATTTTTCTTTAGTATGGCCTTAATTCTTCCATAGTAAATTGTTTCGGTTTTACTTTGTTTCCCTTTAAATTAGGTATTTGAAAAAATCTATACTGGATTTTTCTCTTAATATCTTAATTGTTAAGATGCATCATCTGTTGCTGTTTTTGAAGATTTGGTGCTACATGGGCATTTAAGAAAATGAATTGGATAAGTGAAGTAAATGTTTGTTTCACATAGTAAAAATAGAAAATCATGCTACTACTGCCATGAGTATCACTAGTAAAATGGCTTTATTATTTTTATGTTTATGTTTATTATTATTATTTAAACTAACAAATTTTTAGTCTGTTGAATGGTTAAACTTTTTAAGAGTGCTATTGTTTGTAACCGCATGGTAACAATGATAATACTAACACATTATAATGATAAATCATTCGGTAAATCAGAATCAATAACACATGTACCAAATCAAACAGGAGTCTATCAAAAATATTATTTTCAATGACGTCAATGAAAAATGAATCATTTCCCTTAGTATAATTTTTAAATTTTTAAAAAGGATGACATTTTATTTACCTCCCAAACCAGACAGCTATAGGTTTCTTTTTTTTTTTTTTTTTTTGTCTTTTGTCTTTTTTCCGTGTCCGGCAACGGATCGCAACCCTCAGTGTTGCCCCCGTACCGGACCGGGGACCGGCAACGGGATCGCAAGCCTCGGTGTTGCTCCCGCGCCTCTCTCAGCCAGTCAGCGGGAGCTGGTCTGTATGTGGGATCCGAACCCTCGGGCGGGAGCGCCACCGCGCTTCCCAAGTGGCGCACTATCCAGTGCGCCAGCGGGCCGGCCCTATAGGTTTCTTAAAAAGCATTCATATTGATGTCTGGGCTATATGAAGACTTAAGATATTTTGTAACATCTAAGTCACGGAAGATTTTACTTTACCATGTTAATACGCACCATCATAAAAGTTGAAAGAACCAATATTATTCCTTTTTGACAGAATCCTTAATTTTCAACTTTTGTAGTTGATGTCCAGGAAAGTTCTCAGGTAGAAAGTGTATTTTAATTATCTACAGTATCTTTGCAGTGGTTTTAGTATCAGGCAAATGAGGGTTCCAGTCTTGGCTCCCTTGTTTACTAACTCTGTGATGGCTACATGTTCCTTCAGTTTTCTCTTCAGTAAAATGGGGCCATTAGAACATTTACCTTGTTGGTGTGTGTGTGTGTGTGTGTGTGTGAGAGAGAGAGAGAGAGAGAGAGAGAGAGGTAACTTAAATTGTGCATTAAATACCTTAATGCAGTTAATATTAACTTAATTTAACTTATTACCTCTTTTTTTACTATTGTTTAGACAGTTTTTGCCCTAAATTTATGGAAGGTGGTTTTTTTTTTTTTTTTTTTTCCTTTTTTTTTGTCTTTTTTCGTGACCGGCAACGGATCGGATCGCAACCCTCAGTGTTGCTCCCGCCCCTCACTCAGCCAGTGAGCAGCCGGTCTGTATGTGGGATCCGAACCCTCGGCGGGAGCGCCACCGCGCTTCCCAAGCGGCGCACTATAGCAGTGCACCACCGGGCTGGCCAGGAAGGTGGTTTTAAAAATAGATTTAAATTTCCTATAATCATTTGCAAGGATAGGATCCAGGTAAACTCAAAAACCAGGAGTCTATATGTGTAACAGTAATGATATCCCACACGAACAGAGAAAGTGAGATGTCTTTATTTTCTATTCTGCCTTTAAGATGAGGAAGTACCTGCAGTTATATTTGATGGTATCTAAAATGAGACTCCACAGTATCCTTTTCTAGAAACTCTTGGTTTTTAAGTAGTATTTGCTGCTGCCTCCGATTTTTAAAAGTGCCTAATTTGCCTTTTCTTTTTACAAGCGAGCACTGCTCACAGAGGAAGTGGTTGTGGCTGGCAGGGCTCTCTCTGAATGTTTTGGGTTGGCTGATTTCTGTGGCCTCAGCACCTAAAACTGCTCTTGCTTTAATGGCTATTGTTATCAGCATCTTGTCAAGGAGGGCAAATGGCCGGGTTGCCTTAGAACAGAAAGAAGTTGGAAAGAAAAGTCGGTTGTTTGAGCTCTGCACCCTGGCTGGCTGGGAGTTAGGGAGCCAGTCAAATTTTCCTCTCTCTAAGAGTGAGCACGGACATTTGGTATTCTCCCTAGGTGTAGTGTGAGCCTTCTTTCCTGGGTGTTAGAGAGAGGTTATGTAGAAAGCCAGAGCGTTAAGTAACATATAGCACGTGTCTGCATTAATGCAAAGGTAGCTTTTCTCTGCTTAACATCAGAAAATCTAGTTGGGTGTCAGAAATCAACTGTCAGTATCTAGAATATGTGTTGTCATGAACTTGAACCTAAGGTTATTGTTTATCATGTAAGACTAAATTGTGATGTATATTTCCACCTCCCCCTCTTCCCCCATTTCATTATTTTCTTTAGACTTCAGGCTCGCATAGCTCACAGGATACAAGAACTGGAAAATCTGCCTGGCTCTTTGCCACCAGATTTACGAACCAAAGCAACCGTGGAACTGAAAGCACTTCGGTTACTCAATTTCCAGCGTCAGGTAATACCTTTTCCCCAGTGAATCTGAGATGTAGGAAATAAATGTAATTGTTCCTAAAGTGTGATCTCTGAGCTTCCTTTAGTCTATTCAATATTGTTATAAAGATATAAACTTAGTAAAATAGTGTATCTTTTAGACCATCAGTGTATAGCTAAAAGTAATGAAGATGAACTGCTTATTATTCTGTGTTTCCCTTCTGTATATTGGAAACATTTTTTCTCCTGTGTTATGGTTTACAAAGTCAGAGTTATGGCATTTTGTTACTGTGGATAAAAAACCTGGAGAACAAATGGGGATAGTGCATATTTGTCTTTACGACTCCAAGGAAAAGCAAGAAGGTGGTAGAAGCTGCTTTGTAAGCACAAATGTAAAATGCTAGCCATGACTATGAAAATAATTTCAGCAAATATGATAGTCACTCTACTGAATTGGGAGATTGTTTATAGAAATACATAAAACAATGCCTTGTAGCTTCATTATTCATTAAAACCTAAGTTTGGAGCATTTGATCACATCAGACCCCCATGCTGACTAATCAGTGAATTGTTATCTGTTCTTGTTACAGTTCTCAGTAGTCATTATAAAACTAGTATAACGATCTATTTTCTTATTTCTCAATGAGTTGGGGACTAATGGAATGAGGTGGAGCTAATTTTCACTTTACTGCATTGTGCCTTGTGAACCCAAAAGGTGCAAGTCTCCTAGTCCATGGATTGCCTCCCTAAGCCAAAGGGGATAAGGAGCGATTTGTTGTCAGTCAGATGGGTTTGTTTTGTTAGAGTCCGGGGCATGCAGAATGAATTATTAATGAATAAAAGTAGTTTGGATGTATTGAATTGCATGACTTGGGCTGTTGGAGGATGTGACTAAAATCACAAGGCCATTCCACTTGCTACTGTCATATGAACCTGGGTGTACATTGCCTTGCTGGTTGTAGTATCACAGAAGGGCATCACTGAGGGGTAGGTGCTACTTGGCTATAGGTTTGTGAGACTAGATTTCAGCTCAAATTTTTAAAAGAAAAAGAAAAGTTCTGTGAGTTCCATTTACTGCTTATAGGTGACTTCATAATATGAATTAATAGTGTTTGATAAAATTTTTTAAAATGAATATTAATCAAGTATATTTTTAGGAGTAAGCTTATATTTAAATTAGCCTCACCATGCTGGACTCTTATTGTTCTCTGATTTTTATTTGATATTGTTGAAAAATATGTTGCCTGTGAAGTTTCCTGATTCAATTGACTGTAATTGATGATGATTTCAGATTCAACTGAATGATTATTGTAATGTGTATTCCCAAGTCCCCACTCCCTACCACCACATAACATGCAATATGGATAAAATATTATATTTATAATCATCTAAAATAAGTCCATGATGTAATATAGCATTTAAATATCTTGTAAAGAATATCATTGTTGGAGTGGGAGGAAGCCAAAACCCGTACTTCTCTTTCTCTTTATGAGACTATGAGTTAACATTGTTTGAATACCTGCTATCATACAACATGAACAGAAAGTAATTCTTACATTCTTTTGGTGGAGCATCATTAAAGTTAATCTTTAAACACAAAGAGAATGTTAGTAAGACATTTAAAATGAAGTAAAAAAAAATTAAAAGCTTATTAACTAATTAATATCATTAGAATAATTAAGTAGAATGAATTAATTGATTTCAAAGCCAGGACAACATCTACTCTTTTTTTCTTTATATTGTTACAGTTCTATAACTGCTTTTGCTCTGAATTATTTGGAAAGAAAACTTACGTTATCCTTGTTACTATCCTTTTAGTTTCTTCATTTAATAAAGGGCAGCTGTGATTGAGAAACTCATACAGTCCCCATTATGTTCCATTAGAGAAGTCAGGGTTCAGAAACCCGGCTTCCCTTTGGGGAGGCTCTCTAACCACTCTGCTCTTGACAGCTGAGACAGGAGGTGGTGGCCTGCATGCGCAGGGACACAACCCTCGAGACGGCTCTAAACTCGAAAGCATACAAGCGGAGCAAGCGCCAGACTCTGAGAGAAGCCCGCATGACTGAGAAACTAGAGAAGCAGCAGAAGATTGAGCAAGAGAGGAAGCGTCGGCAGAAACACCAGGTGCTCAGAACTGGGCTTCACCTACCCCCACTTTGACAGAGATGCCCAGTGAAGGCAATAGAAGGGGTCAGAATGACTGGAAAATGGAAGCGTCGGCAGAAACACCAGGTGCTCAGAACTGGGCTTCACCTACCCCCACTTTGACAGCGATGCCCAGTGAAGGCAATAGAAGGGGTCAGAATGACTGGAAAACGTACCTTTGCATGCGGTGGGCATGCCACAGGACACAAAGGTTCCTTGGGGTTTACAGAGTCCAGCCATGTCATTTTATAGACATGAACACTTAGGCCAAGACAGATAAATGGGTGACCTGCCCAAGGTCACACAGTTGGTCAGTAGCAGGATGACGTTTAGGACACAGCTTTCTTGAGTTCCAGTCAAGTATTGTCTTAGTCTGGGCTGGAATAGAAAAATACCCTAGATTGGGTGGCTTATAAACAACAGAACTTTATTTCTCACAGTTCTGGAGGCTAGAAGTTTGAGATCAGGTACCAGTGTGGTTGGGATTTGGCAAGGGCCCTGTTCCAGGTTGTAGACTGCTGACTTCTGTTTGTATCTTCATATGGGGGGAAAAGAGCAAAGCTCTCCAGGCTCCCTTTATGAGGGCTCTAATCCCTTTTTTGAGGGCTCCAACCTCACAACCTAATTACCTCCTAAAGACCCCACCTCCTAATACTGTCATTTTGGCTGTTCAGATTTCAACATAGGGATTTTTGGAGGACACTAACATTCAGTCCATAACAGTTGTCATGTTTGTAATCCCATAGAAAGCAGCTGAATGGGTGGGCATAGGGGTTTTCCTAGTGCAAAATCCTGGGAAAAGGAACTTGCAAAAGGACAGAACAGAATGAAAAGTTATTTTTATAACAAATATAGATATAGTATCCTGGGCTCTTTGAAGAACCCAGTCAGAGGTTTCACAGAGACAAATATTTAAAAACATTCCTTTCCAGAAATTTGGAAATATTTTAATGTAGTATTTGATTTTGTGTCAGAATCATATAAATTCTGTTCGTTTTCCTGTGCTTAATTTAGTGCTTTGCTTAGTTTCATTTTTAAAAAATGTAGGGTACGTGTTTCCCTCCTTTATTTACAACGTGGATACAAATTATGTGTAGCAATTTTCGTTTTGTCTCAACTTACTTTGCGTTACAATTCTAGGCATTTAAGTTAACTGTGTCCGTTAGGTTAATTTTAGGGTGAGTGATTTGCTTTAAATATTATCACTGTCATTTCGTAGGTCTCTTTCCTTCTTTGATCTTCCCATTTTTATGTGGTTGCATCCTTAAGACTGAGGAAGCTTCTCTTCCACAGGCTTGCAGCAAAACGAACTTGGAGAGGCTGTCTTTCTCACCAGCCCCACAGTCCTCCACTGCAGAGACTCACCAGGGCACCTCTCCTAAAATAGATTCTCATCTTTTTTTTTTTTTTTTTTTCCTTTTTGTCTCTTTTTTTGTGACTGGCAATGGATCGCAACCCTCAGTGTCGCGCCCGCACCTCGCTCAGCCAGTGAGCGGCCGGTCTGTATGTGGGATCCGAACCCTCGGCGGGAGGGCGCACTGTAGCAGTGCGCCACCGAGCCGGCCGAGATTCTCATCTTTTAATTGTGTTAAATACACACTGAGAGTTTTCTTGGACTATGTTGATATTTCACAGGCCATCAGGAAATGGATTTTAAGAATCCTTTTCTTCCCCTTTTGGATCCTTTAGGAATACCTGAACAGTATTTTGCAACATGCAAAAGATTTTAAGGAATACCATCGGTCTGTGGCCGGGAAGATCCAGAAGCTTTCCAAAGCGGTGGCAACTTGGCATGCCAACACCGAAAGGGAGCAGAAGAAGGAGACAGAGCGGATTGAAAAGGAGAGAATGCGGAGACTGATGGTAAGGGGCCCCCCTGCAGGAGCCGGGGAAAACGCTAGTATTGAGAATGTTTTTTGGTTTTTTTTTTTTATTTTAACTTCTCAATATACCTTATAGTTGATTTTCGTGTCCCTTTACCCGTTCCTGTTTCTCCACTTCATCTCTCCCCTCCCCCCACAAAATGCAGCAGTACTGGGAATATACCCGGAGGAATGGAAGTCGTTATGTCAAAGGGATACCTGTACCCCAATGTTTATTGCAGCACTATTTACAATAGCCAAGAGCTGGAACCAGCGCAAATGTCCATCATCAGATGAGTGGATACGGAAAATGTGGTATACCTACACAATGGAATAAAAAAGAAAACTGCTATAAAAAAGAATGAAATACTGCCATTCGCAGCAACATGGATGGACTTAGAGAAAATTATATTAAGTGAAACAAGTCAGGCACAGAAAGAGAAATACCACATGTTCTCACTTATTTGTGGGAGCTAAAAATAAATGAATAAATACACAAACGGGGCAGGTGGGGAAGAAGACACAGCAATCACAATTCCTTGAACTTGTTAAGACAAGTGAACAGATATGAGGTTGATGGGTGGGATGGGGGAGGGAGGAATCAGTAAGGGGACACGAAAATCAACTGCATTGTATATTGATAAAATAAAATAAAAATGTGGCAGTAGTAGAAGGAGAAAGTGAAAGCTGCTTATCAAAAATATTAAGAGTTATCTTGAACTTCAGGGGGATGGAGTAAAAAAATTTTCTTTTTCCTAGACACTACATGCCACACATCTAGGGCTACCACTGATGTCCTAGGTGGTATTGCTGTTGAGATGATAGCTTCTCACATAAAGGCAGGTGCTCTAATTTGCAAGAGCTTGATAACCAGATCTGGAAGGATGGCCAATATAGTTCTTTTAAAAATATGGCCTCTTTGAGACAAATTATCAAGTTTTTTTTAATAAATAACCAATTTTTTTTTAATGAAATAAGTTGTGTTTTGAACCTAAGAAGATCTCTTTTTTGAAGCCTCTGATGCTTATCTTTTTTTTTCATGGCAGAAATTATTCTTTAACAATGTAAAAAGTGATTTTTATGATAGTTGTGTTATTGTCAAAAGTTATTCATGGATCATTACATTTGTGTTGTTATTTTTTTATGGATATATAAACACAGAAGGGATAGGTTTGTATCATTGGCCTGAGTATTTGGTTTTATTGACCATTTATTTGGATCTCAGAGCACACTGCGGATTTTAGAAAAGTGTGTGTGATCTGTAATGATAGGAGACCTGCAGATTTTATCTGGGACATGATGCCTGAACAGATGAAGATAAAGTCATTAGCCTCAGCCCGTAATTACATGTCTGAAAAATTCTCAGTGGCACTGTCTTCCTTCCTGGTATTAGAGTTTGCATTTTGTTTTCATTAATTTTTTTGGATTCTGGACAGTAAACACCATATTTTAAAAGTCACTGTGTTTAGGTCCTACTAAATCTTACCATCTATCCTATCTCCCTCTCTTGTTTTGGAAGGAGAGAACTGTCCAAGAGATTTTCGACTAACTCAGGAGATCATTTTATAGTAATCTGAGCAATAAGTAGTCAAATCTGTCTGATTCAACTGAAGTGAAACTATATTAGAACTTCAGAAACAGATTGGTTTGACACTAATGATTAGGCATTTGCAAATCATTAATTTTTGCAATTAAATGATGGAATACACAGATAATAGAGAAACTGAAGTTTTTTATCACTCTTTCTTCAAGTGAGATCAACCATAACCAAAAGCAATTAGAGTTATAATAGCATTTGAGGTTCACGCTCATCCATGGGGCAGACAGCAGCCGGACTGAATGATGAAGCTGCTGTCACTCGGGCAAATGCTGGAGTGACATTCCTGGACTGAAGACCCCAAGCTTTTCTGTAATGGAGTTACCTCTTAAAGATTTTGAAGCATGTACTTTTTATCCTAGCATCACATGAGAAAAATATTTTGGAGTGTCCTTTTACTGGGATGTATAAAAAATATTTCTCTTGAAATGGCTCAGAGTACATCAGAGTTTTATTCTGTTTAACCTCATAATATTGCTTAATGGGAGGTGGAGGTGGGAATTATTGTATCTGTTTTATTGTTCAGCAGTACGTGACTTCAGGTGCTAAATGACTTGTCTCCAGTCACCTAGGCCCACAACCAGTGCAGATCTGTGACACAAATCCCCCCAATTTGACCTTTGCTGTCAACCACAATGTTTGTAATGCCAAAAAGAAAAGTTTTTTTAAGTTTAAGAAGTTATTTGTTAAAAGCCTATTTGAGTCCTTGTCTTTAGAAATACTATTGAAATATTTATGAATGGAAGAGTAGTATGTATGAAATTTGCTCAAGACAGTCCAGTTTGGGAACCAGGAGAGGCGTTGGGGGAAGGGTAGCAATGAAACGGGAGTCACCACAAGTTTAAGTTTTCTTGCTTGGTGTTGGTTATGTGAGAGATGATACTATTCTCTCTACTTTTGGTTACATTTGAAAATTTCCAAAATATAAAGCTAAAAATAAAGTTCAGATGGTGAATTGTCATATTCTGACATTATTTCTGTACAGTTAAAAAAACAGAAGAACGAAGAGCTAACTCGAAGTGCAGCTTGGTGCTTGGTGCCCTGATTTTGCCATGCAACCCCCCTGCCCCCTGCCCATCCTGGGACGAAGGCGTCACACTTCTGTGTGTTGGCCCAGTCCCAGGCTCCACGTGAGGGCTGGCGCAGCCGGGCTCATCTGGTCTGCTGCACTCACCAGCAGTCACAGCGCAGACTGGCAAGGGGAGGGTGGAGCGGGGAATGGAGTGGTCTGTAAACTTGCATGATGCTGTCTTCGTGCTCTCCTTTCCTTCATAGGCTGAAGACGAAGAGGGCTACAGAAAACTGATTGACCAGAAGAAAGACAGGCGTTTAGCTTACCTCTTGCAGCAGACTGATGAGTATGTGGCCAACCTGACCAACCTGGTTTGGGAGCACAAGCAAGCCCAGGCAGCCAAAGAGAAGAAGAAAAGGAGGAGGAGGAAGAAGGTGCGTACCCTAGTGGCCGTGGCTGAGTCTGGGGCATTGGGGCAGGGACTCGTTTAAGGCAAGAATTGCTCTCGACTAAGGACCACTTCCTACACTAACGGGAGGTGTAGATATTGAATTGCGACAGTTGCATGAATGGGTATGGCGTGAAAGTTTGCTAGGTGTACTAGACAGCGTGTTGGAGATGAGGGTGTGACGCGTGGGATGCACTCAGCTGAAACAGTGCCGTCTATGTTCCCATCGTTTAACATAACGTTTTAAATTAAGTACACAGTAGGTCAATAGGAAAAGGAAAAGCACGGACACAAATAAATGTCTGCCTAAGTGTAATGCCAGTGTGGCAGGGGACTGCTGAGTTAAGAATCTGGGATGAAAATTAAGAAGAAAATGCAGCATATAGATTGAAAGAAGGCAGATAGTTTGGGAATACTTTTGGAACAAATTTGAGCCCATTTATTTGGATGGATGGCAATGGCAAAATTGTTCATTCAGTTCTGCTGCCCTAGTATCGCAGTAAGGTAAATGTGCAGATAAGGATTTTAGGTACTTACAGAAAAAAAAATAGCCCTCTGTAAAATAGATCCTAATTATCATGAGAATAGAAGGGTAAGACATAGACTCTCTGCTCTGCAGATACTATATCTCAATTCAAGAGTAACCTCCTGAGTGTAACTTGTGAATATGGGTCCTCTTTGAAGCGGAAGCAGTCCGGTAATCTAGTTCTTGTTATTTTGTTTTTGTGATAAATTCTGATTGGGCCAGGTACAAACATCAACAGGAAGTCTGTCAGAATTGTGAAAATTGAAGATTGGTAGCATTTAATCATTTATTCTCTACCCTGAATAATTGAGCAAAATGGTTTTCAAAAAGAAATCAAATTTCAAGGCTCCTGAATCTTCGTACT